CTAGAACAAGATATGGTGCCCTCTTATGGTGGGCAGGTGTATATGCAAGCAGAATACTGTATATATAATAAATAAATAAATCTTAAAAAAAAAGTCCAAGGTTAAAAACTTTCCCTACATACAACTGACCGTTGGTGGCAGAGCTGGTGCTATACTATACTTGTTTCAAAGGCCATACTCAAGTTTTCTGCTATCTCAAGTAATTCTTAAGGACTTTTTTCTTTCACATTCTAAATTGAGGTATAATTACATAAAACAAAACAAAACAAACAAACAAACAAACAAAAAAAAACGTGCACAGAACATGATTGTAGACCTTACAAACTTCCACCAGACCTGTATTCCTGTATTTAACACCTCAATTAAAACACAGACTGTTCGCCTGGCATGGCAGCACACATCTGTAATGGCAGCATCTGGAAAACTGGGAACTTCAGGAACTTCAGGCCAGCCTGGATCTACACTCAGAAAGTTACCAGCCAATCTACCCTGTGGCATTCTCTTGAGCCTCTTTACATCAGCCGCCACCCCTGGCATGACTACAGCAGCTCCGATTTATATTCCTTTCCGTTTGATCTGAAGCTGCCTGCACATGTTAACAAGTGCCGTATCCTGCACGCTCGTCCCAGTGTATGGAAATGAAAACTGAATTCAAAGGTTTACTTACTTACACCTCTGAAGTAGCTCCAATTTTCTTCTCTCCTTTGGGCTATAGACCTACCTAAAAATTGTTTTGGATCTACCTGAACAGCTTTACAGGGAAACAGCTTGGCCCAATTACAGACATAATTTAATTTTAGTTTTGTTGTTGTTTTTCAAGACAGTGTTTCTCTGTGTAGCCCTGGGTGTCCTGGAACTAGCTCAGCAGACCAGGCTGACCTTCAGCTCAAGAGATCTGGCCTTCAACTTTAATCTGCTGGGATTAAAGGCCTGTCCCACAACACCCAGCTTTTTTTTTTTTTTTTTTTAACAATTACTTTTACGATTCACATGTATAGGAAGTCAAGGCCTATGATTCCTTAAAATGGGGTGTAAAATGAACTATTCTGTTCAGAAAATAAAGACACTCTCTTCAAGATACCTGCCTACACACACACACACACACACACACACACACACACACACACACAACATAAAAACGCACATAGTCTGTCTTTTTGGAGGCCGCTTCCTGCTTCTGTGATCATTGTGCTGCTGTGGGTTCCCAGCAGCTCTTGCTTTCTCACCAGCACAGGAGGCAAGTGGTACTTGAAAACTTAACCAGCCAAAAGAGAGTTCATGTTTAGAAACTGGAAAACTCTGGCGTTGGAACATTGTTTTAAAGCCAAAAATGTGAAGGTCTGGATGGGGGCACCTTTCCAGCAGCCACAGACACAAGCAAATCAAACAGAGCCTGCACTTCCCCAGCAAGGCAGTGGTGGCCAGGGCAGGCCATTTTCTCCACAGTCACTTCATTGCCTCAGACAGTGAGCTCATGCTTGGCAGTGGTGAACCCCATAAAACACGGCATTTAACACGGCATTCCTCCATCCTAAAGGAAGAACCATGTGAACATATACACTGCAAGGCTGAATCAAAGTAAGTTCTTTTTTTTTTTTTTTTTAATTTTTTCTGAGACAGGGTTTCTCTGTGTAGATTGGCTGTTCTGGACTCACTTTGTAGACCAGGCTGGCCTTGAACTCACAGCAATCTGCCTGCCTCTGCCTCCGGAGTGCTGGGATTAAAGGCCTGCACCACCATGCCAGGCTTCAAACTAAGTTCTTAAAATCCCGAGGAAAAGAAAATTTACACCAGCCTTGTCAGGCCACAGAGGAAGAGGATCCTGGCAGTCCTGATGAGACTTGATAGGCTAGAGTCAGATGGTAGCAGAGGAGAGCTCCACTTTCTGTGGTCTGGGAGAGGGGAAAGGGGGAGGCGGGGGGAAAGGAGGAAGGGGAGGAGATGAAGAAGGAGGCTACAATCAGGATATAAAGTGATTAAGTTATAAAAAAATAAAGTGAAAACACACACACACACACACACACACACACACACACACGGTTATAACATTAGACCCTACTTAGGAATGCAGCTTCACTTCTGAAGGGCATCTGTTTCAACAGTTTAAAATATAAAATTATTTTCACTAATTAAAAAACAAAACCAAAAACCTGGGTGGGGCATAGCTAAGTGGTGGACACTGGCCCAGCATGTCAGGCCCTCAGTTTCTTCTGCCTATCCTACTTTCTCTGATGATTATGGCAAACTGTCCTGCTGGTTGGCCTGTGCCTGGCATTGCTCTGTGAACCCTGATGGGGTGGGTGGTGGGGACATGCATGAATGTCCTGTAATGTGACTCATATCCCCTGACTTCACCAAGGAAAGCAGGCTTGCTGCAGCCAGAGCCTGGACAGGACCGTAAGGATGCAAGGCAAATGAAGCCACTTTGGCTCTAGATTATCATGCTCACGGGACTGGCACATGCTTAGATCTGATAATGTTGCTGGTGGCAGAAAACAAACAAGGATAAGTAGGATAACTCTATGGAGAGGACAGTTTTCTGGCTTGGGGTTTTAGGAAAAGAAGGAGTTCAAAGGCAGCCTAGCTTTCATGAGACATAGTCTGAAAGCAAGCAAGCATCTGCCAGTATTACAGAGAGGTGACTTTAGGGTATACATTCAATTATAAAATTTTGTTTTTTGAGACAGGGTTTCTCTATGTGGCCTTGGTTGTCCTGGACTTTCTTTGCAGACCAGGCTGGCCTCGAACTCACAGAGATCCTCCTGCCTCTGCCTCCCTGAGTGCACCACTTCGCCTGGCTGGTGATAAGGGGTTTCTTTGTGTGGCCCCAGCTGGCTTGGAACTAGAGACCTGCCTGCCTCTACCTTCTAAGTGCTGGGATTAAAGGAGGGCACCCCACTGCCTGGCACAAACTTGGGTTTAAAAGCATAAAATAGAATGTCACTGTTAGATGTTTAAGTACCATCCTTAGCTCTTGAGAAAACAGGTGCAGGTCAAGATGAAGCTGCCTTCAGTGTCTAGCCTTCCGTTCTTTCAGCCCATTCCCCAGTGTCTAAGGTTTTTAGTTCATATTGAACTTTTTTGTGTGTGAGAGAGAATTTGGCAGATTATAACTTTAGGAATAAAAATATATTACTCCTTCACATTTTTATTCAAGTCTTAATACAAAAATCTCATAAAAGATACAAGTGGTGGTGGTGACACCTTTAATCCCAGGGGACACAGAGGCAGTGGATCTCTGAGGCCAGCTTAGACTATAGAGTGAGTCCCAGGGAAATGAGGGCTATACAGAAGAACCTTGTCTCTAAAAACAAAAATCCAAAACCAAACCAAAGGAAAAGCTATAAAAAGTAATGACCTTGAGTAACAAGAAGGGGAGCTATTTTCATCCAGTTATTCAAGGCGGGAGTAAACTGAGAGCTATCTCTGAGATGATGACAGTTAAACAGGGCTAGTTTCTGGGTCTGCCGCTGACTTACTTAGGAATTTAAGGCACTTGGGAACAAAGTTAAAAAGAAAATAACTCTAACAGGCGAAATGAAAACAATAGAGACCTGATGAGGCTGCTCGGCTGATAGGATGCTTACCACACACATGCACTACAGCATATGCGGGCCCCATAAGTGAATAAACTAGAAACAAACAAAACAGGCATTGGTCTCACAGTTTGGGCGCAGGGTGGATACTAGGCCTTTGATTGTTCTGGCTGTTTCCTCCTTTGCTGCCTTCATTCACAGCTGGCTGTCTCTATGTGGTAGGAAAAGATGGCGGCTATTGGCTGGTTACAAGATTATTGTGGGCCTCAGAACACTGATCAGAAGAGAATCTTGGAAGGCAAGTATGGTGTTGCACTTGGAGGCAGAGGCAGGAAGATCAGAGCCCAAGGTCATCCTTGGCTGCATAGTAGTTCAAGGCCAGCCAGGGCTACAGAGGTCTCTTCTTGTCTCAAGAAGAAAAGGTAGAAGAAAGAGGAAGGAGAGGGAGAGAGGGGGCTAACGGGAGAGAGGAGAATATTTTGGGCTACAGCTTATGCCTGTAATCTTGGCACTTGAAAGGCTGAAGTAGGACTGAAAGTCAAGGACAGTGTATCTACAAAGTGAGACTTTTAAAATGGCATCTGCAGGTGCTTTGCCTGCATGTCTGTGTTAGGGCATCAGAGCCCCTGGAACTGGAGTTACAGACAGTTGTGAGCTGCCATGTGGGTGCTGGGAATTGAACCCAGGTCCTCTGGAAGAGCAGTCAATGCTCTTAACTACTGAGCCATCTCTCCAGCCCCAAACAAACCTTTACTGATAGGTCTGAGAACAGTGCTTTCCAAGGCTAGTCCAGTGCTGAGCCTAAGAGTAAAGTAAACTTCAACCACATCTGATTGCTGAGGACTGGGAAATGAAATAATGGTTTCCAAAGGAAGGCTAGAAATATGAAATGCATGTTACCACTCCAGGAGAAGCTGTAAAATTTCCAGACATTCTAATGTAATTCCAGCCCAATATACACTTGCCAAATCAATGGAAGAAGACAAAGCAGAGCTGCTGCAGATTACATTAAAAGCATCATTTTTCAGACTCTGATGTTATGTTTTAAAAAAACCAATAAAACACAATTGAAGGCAGACACCAAGGTCATTACTGAGAGGCCATTTTAGCAAGAAGCTGCTCCAATCAAGTAAACTTGATGAGGTCCTAAGTTCCATCTGTATGACACCAAGAGGGGCACGTCCCTGGGAGAAGGCGTTTCTTCTCTTAACCACCAGAAAAGCAGAGTTTGTTCAGCCTGAAGAGAGGCCAACATGAAGGGTCCTGATACCAGCAAGAGTTCATTTAAATTGGTGGTATTCGGGTGAGTTTCTGATCCAGGATGCAAAGGGCTGCGCCCTCCGGAGTGCGCTCCAGGCTTCCTGGTAGGCAGACGCGGCGTCCTTGTACTCCTGGTAGGTGTCCAGCTTCTGTACCCTAATGCACACATGCCGTCAAGCACAGTTCTCACCGGGGTACTCGCCCTTAGAACAACTGGAAAGACCCAAACAGCAGAGCAGGGGCAGAGGGAGCACTGTCTCCTTGAAAGGGAATTCATGTTAAAGCAGTACGTGCTGGAGCCAGTTAGAATCACAGAACACTAGCTGGGTGTGCTGGCGCATGCCTTTAATCCCAGCACAGGAGGCAGAGACAGGCAGATCTCTGCGATTCCAGGGCAGCCTGGACTATGTACAGGCTATGTGCAAGCAGATAAAAGTTTTCTCTGTGGTATGGAAGATCACACAGAGTTTCAAGTATGCTAGACAGCCTCCTCCTACTATCACAAGCTGTCTTCTCCAGTCCTGACTTAAAGTTTCCACCCAAGGATCTAGAGATTAAGAACTTTCTTGGCTCTGTTTTTTCTTTTAAGAACATTCTGTAACATCTACATTCTACTATATGCTGCTAATCGACACCCCTTTATCCTCTCTGACTAGTTGTAATTCTTGGGAGATTTTCTTCGGATAAGACTAGGTAGGTCTAAAATGTGAGTCGAGTCCTCCGAGTCCTCCTCTTGACTTGGCCTTGGGTTCCGCCCAAGCTTTCTAAGTCCAGTTTCAACTAGAGTTCTCCTGAGTCAGTTTAATAAACGTTCCCACCCCTTGCCCTCTGATCACTTTCAATACTGACCCAATTCTTCACTCTGGGCAGGGATAGCCTGGGCAGTAGACTGCTCGCTTAGCAGGAACCCCTGTGTTTGTCCCTTTGAACTGAACAGAGCAGGGGTGGTGGCATCCGTGTGATCCTAGCACATTGGAGGCAGAAACAGGAGGACTGGAATGTTCAAGGTCATCGCTGGCTCTGCAGCAAGTTTGAGGCTAGTCTGCGTCATATAAGATACTAAAAAAAAAAAGTTTTTTTTACTTGTACCCTATCTCATCACCTTGCTTGCCTTCAGCAAGAATCTTGTTTAGCTCACACCTGTATTCCCTGCAATCTGGGAGCCAGAGGTAGGTGGATCTCTGTGAGTTCAAGGCCAGCCTGGCCTACAAAACAAATCCAGGACTGCCAAAGCTACACAGAGAAACCATGCTGCAAAAACCAAAAACCAAAAACCAAAAACCAAAAAAAAAAAAAAAAAGAAAGAAAAAAATACTTTAGCTTAGTTTTAAATCAGCTTAGAAATTTTCTAGCCACAGACTCCCCCAACCCATTCTGCTCCTTCCTGGTCTAAGTCTCCAGTTGAGCTCAGTTTCTTTCCCCTGTAACATCTCCTGAATAGTCTTCTCTACCATGTGACAAATGTCTGAAGAAGTCTTTCTTTAACACTAGTGCAGCACACACATCTCATCACAGAATAAGTTCTTAATTATGACGTGATGTGCTAGGATGGGTTGGTGGAGGGGGACTCCCCTTTTCTGAGGAGTAGGGGAGGAGGGATAAGGGAAGAGGGAGGGAGGGTGGGGCAGGGAAAAGAGGGAGGGGCTACAATTGGGATGTAAAATGAATAAATAAATTAATAAAAAGTTTATTGTATATATGAGTGTTTTGTCTGCATGTATGTTTGTGCAGCATGGCTGTGCCCTGTGTTCATTTCAGAAGAGGGTGTCAGATTCCCTAGAACGAGAGTGAGCCACCTGATATGGGTCCTGGGTTCTGAGCTTTGTTCCTTTTGAGACGGAACAAGTGATTTTAATCACTGAGTCAGCTCTTCAGGGACACCCCCATAGATTTTTTTCTTTGTTTTGTTTTGTTTTTTTGAGACAGGGTTTCTCTGTGTAGCTGTGGCTGTCCTGGAGCTCACTCTGTAGACCAGGCTGGTCTTGAACTCACAGAGATCCGCCTGCTTCTGCCTCCCAAATGCTGGGATTAAAGGTGTGTGCCACCACTGCCCGGCCCTCATGGATTTTTATAACTAAAATTACTTATTGGTTGCCATCAGCAAGTATAAACCATGCCTGGATCAAGCACTTTGACATGAAATATTTTTCCTTTATGTTTTTCTCAGTGATCTTATGACATGGCTAATGTTACTATTCTTACCATTGACTAAACCAAGACTGTGAGGATTAATCTTCATTATTGACGAGAGTGGAGTTATAACTCGTTAGAATCACCAGGGAAACCAACCTCTGGGCATGTCCATGAGGGTGCTTTCCAGGAAGGTTTGACTGAGGTGGGAGAGCCACCATGGATGGGGCAGAGCCAAACATGGGCTGGGGGCCCAGAGCGACCACCAAGGAGGAACTGAGCTCGACACCCATGTTCCTCTCTCCGCTTCCTAATCTTTTTGTGTGTTTGTTTTAGACAGTCTTCTTCCCAATTTTTGATGCCGTATAAGTAGCCACCTTAGACGGTACCCTCCAACTGTGAACCAAAATAAAGTCTTCCTTGGTTGTGTTTACCAGGTTTTTTACCTAATAGAGACTTGTCTTACTAATTCAACTTCATCCTGTTTCACTACTACTATTATTATTACTATCACTTTAATTTAAGGTCATTTATCTTGCCTGTGTCTCATGTGTGTGCAGCACCTGTGGAGGCCTGAGGAACATGTCAGAGTCCCTGGGACTGGAGGTACAGATGGTTATGAGCCACCATGTGGGTGCTCAGAGTTGAACCTGGTCCTCAGCAAGAACAGCCAGTGCTCTTAGGCTCTGAGCCATCTCTCTAGCCTCTATTTTTATTATTTTTAAGTGTGTGTGCGTGTGTGCACACGATCCCATGAGTGAGGAAGAATGCAAGGAGGAGGCTACAGTTGTACAGACAATGCTTGTTGCGGTAAATACTGATTTAAGTTTTATTTTAATCAATTATTTGTTAGTAAAGAGGCAGGATCCATGAACTTGATAATTTCTAACTGAACTTTGAGTCCTGGGCTCCTGGAAAACAAGTGTAGCTTATCAACAGAGGCCCTGGCTCCCACTGCCAGTACCATAAAGTCAGCCAACGAGTCAGATGACAAAATGAAAAAACACCAAGATCAGTCCTGTGATCCTAGTGTTTGGGAGGCTGAAGCAGGAGAACTGCTGTGGGCTCCAGCTTAAGCTGTCCCAAATGGTGACTTTCAGTTTCAGGCCTCTGGGCAGTGACAACCTCCCTCAAAATAGATATATAAATATGAGGTAAGTAAAACTGAGTGCAAGCCTTCCTCTCACCCTTCGCAAGCATGGCTTCTCTATCTTAGGTGCGATGCGGACACAAATCTGACATGTTCCTCTTCTCTGTGAGAATGCAATAAGTGACCCCTGGCTCGCCGAGCCTAGTGCCTGCCACATGCGTCACCATGCACAAGCCAGAAGCAGAGCAGCAGCCTTTAGAGACAGGACAGCAGGGGGAAGGAGAGAATCACCTGATGGAGTCTGGCTGCTCGTCTCCTGCAATGCTGTTCAGCAGCTTCTGGAATGATCTGAAGAGTTCCACCTTGCTGATCCGGGATCTGTTCAGAAAGGGAAAGTACAGCTCACTGACTGCTAACTAAGTGGCAGGCCACCATCAGAGACACCAGCCTCTTCAGCATGCTCAGGTGCGAATATGCCAGATCCTCCATCCCTCCGTATCCCAAGGAGAAATGTAGGCCGACATGAAATGGCCCATCAGTCTCTCTTCTCCTGCTCCTCCTCCTTTCTCTTCCCTTTTCCCCCCAGCCCTGACAAAAAGGCTTGCTATATTATATTACATACATACATTAATAAATAAATGTTACATACATTGCCTAGGCTGGTTTTGAATCATGAGCCCCTGCCTCAGTTTCCCAAGGGCTAGGATTACAGACATGGATCACCACACCTTGCCTCTCTAGAGAGATCTGTGCTGTGAGGAACTGAAATTCCCTGCTGGCAGTGACACTGACCTGCTTTCACACAACTGAGCATTTTTAGAATTAAATCCCCCAACCCCATTCACACTTCCAGGGGACATAACTGACCTCTCAAATCTCAAGGCACGATCACCTATTAAATTCATTTTTATTCCAAATCAGCAGAAACTCGGAAGACTAAGGTTTATTGTTATGTAAAGGGGCTATTTTGTAGATAATTTCCTATACATCAACAGATAACTAACAGCTTCATAGAATAAATCTAATGGCAATGTGAAAGACTTATATAAGAGAATTATAAAACAGAAACTAATTAAAAATAAATAAATAAAAATAATAAAATGAAACCATGAAAGTTGATTGAGGGCTTAGATTATTGCTCAAGGTTAGAGCAGTTACCTTGGACATGCATAAAGGTTCAATATTCAGTACTGCTAAAAAAAAAAAAAAAAAAAAAAACTGTGGCTAGGCGACAGCTCAGCTCAGTTCTTGGGAACCTGTGCTACTCTTACAGAGGATCTGAGTTTAGTTCCCAGCATCCATAGTGGTTCACAAATGCTATGGCATGAGTGTTTCCAAGCACACAGATGCATAGACACAACATAAATAATTGTGATAAAAAAAACTTTAAGAAGTCCTGAGTAAGTGGGTACTCTAAACTGTGTCATAAATCTGGGAAGAACAAACTGCTGACCTGGCAGGAGAGTTACAGAAAGACAGTCCATGTCCTGTGGGCCTTTAGTGGCACAGTGGTGAGTGGAGCTGCCTTCCACGTTCCTGGTCTGAAAGACGATGCTGAAAGATGTCTATTTTTCTCAACTAGATCTTTAGATTTAGAATCCAAGAATGGCCAAGACAAGACACTCTTGAAAGACAGGGCGACGGGACATCCTCTGACGGATATAATCTATTTAAAGCTACTGAGTGTGATTTTTCATCAGGAGTAGTGGTGCACACACCACTCCAGTACTCAGTAGGCTGAGCAGAAAGACTGTGAGTTCAAGAACAACTGAGGACAGGGAGAGGGAAGGGGTGGACAGAGCAAAAGGGAGAAACTTGATCTAAAACCATAATGAGTGTGGTTTTGTAATAGATAAAAGAGAACAGAACAGGTGTGTGTGTGTGTGTGTGTGTGTGTGTGTGTGTGTGTGTGTGTATAACCATATATATGGTTCTTGAATTTGACACAAATATCTCACTTAAAGCCAGGCAGTGGTGGTGCAAGCCTTTAATCCCAGCACTTGGGAGACAGAGGCAGGTGATTCTTGGAGTTCAAGGCCAGCTTGGTCTACAGAGTGAGTTCCAGGACAGCCAGGGCTACACAGAAAAATTCTATTTTGAACACCCCCCTCAAAAAAAAAAAAAAAAATACCACTTAAAAATGTGGGTTTCCAAAAGTCAGTATTTTATGTTGCCATAAAGAATACAAGCTGAGTTTGTCTGGCAGAAGTTGATACTGAAAATAGTTTCTATAAATGAGTGACTGCAGGTGTACCAGAGAAGCACATCCCAAACTACCTATAGCTCAAAAAGCTTATTTCTTCCCACCTGAACAAAGTGGCCTAGAAGAAATCTATGCACCAAGAGTTAAAACTTCCACCGAGGTGCTGCAGCTGTGACAGTCTCCTGGGACTGCAACAAGTTATAGAACTAGATACTGGGCGCATGTTAATTTAATGGTGTTCGTAAATCCCAGGTTAATTAACTACTACTCAGAAAATTATTACTCAAGGACAAAGTCACCCCGAGGCTTTTTGCATAAAAGCTACATATATGTAGCTTGGTCTTCTTGTGGGACTCGTAGCTCTGGGGGCAGGGGCTGTCTCTGATTCTCATCCAGCTTTACACGAGGGGAGGCGACTAGTCTCACTGCACCTCGATATATACCATGTCTGGCTGATATCCACAGGAGGCTTGCCCTTTTCTGAGTAAAAACAGAGGAGGATGGATGGTGGTTGGAGGCAGATAGGAGGTACACAGGGGAGAGGTCCTGGTTGGAGAGAAAAGAGGGGACACTTCAGTCGGGTTTGAAAAAAAAAAAAAAAAGAAAGAAAGAATAAAAATTAAAATAAAAAAAAGAACAAAGTCAAGTGCCAGGCTTGGTGGTGCACACCTGTAACCCCAGTACTCTGGGAGGCAGAGACAGGAGACAGATGAATCTCTGAGTTCGAGGCCAGCCTGATCTACAAAGTGAATCCAGAACAGCCAAGGTGACACAGAGAAACCCTATCTCAAAAAAACAAAACAAAACAAAACAAAACAAAACAAGACAAAACAAAGTTATCTTTTAAATACTGGAGAGAACATATTCAAAGGGTAAGCACCAAAGGCAACAAAAACACTCATTGTTTCAAATATCTAGCAATTTTCTTGTAAATATAATTTTATCATTTGGCTATATGTATTGACTAATAAAATAAGTAATCTTAGTCAAGACTTCAGCCTGAAACATATCTGCCTATTTCTGCCTCTTGAGTGCTGGATTCAAAGCATGTACCACCAAGCCTGGTTTATTACTGAGGATTAAGGAAGCATATTGAAACATTTCATTTACCAGAACAAGAAACTCTATGTCATACTCTACAGCCTGGAGGACAGATCCACATCAAGGCTCAACATGTCACCCACTTTATTGGCAGGAGGCCTGCTGGGATCTGTTTACCACCATCACAGTAGCACAGCAGAGATGCTGGTATGGAAAGCCCCTCTTGGGAACACAGCTGTAAAGGTTCTCAGCAGTCTGTTCCCTGGAGAACCAAGAGGAAGTTGAATGTTCTCTGCTTCAGCCACCTCATTAGTAATGGTAAGATGCTGCACATGCACACTCAGCACTCAGCTGAGGCAGGATCTGGAGCAAACCTTGTTGAACTATTTTGTCGGCTCCTTCCTCACTCCAAAAACAGAGGCATGCCTACAAAGCAAATCAGAGCCTTGGAGTGTAGCTCAGTGGTACGCAATTGCTAGCAAGTACATGGCCCTGGCTTGGATAGGGTAGATGGCTAGAGACATATTCTCTGTTTGGGAACTTGCTCCAGTGACGCAAGCCAGCCTTCCTTCCTTCCTTCCTTCCTTCCTTCCTTCCTTCCTTCCTTCCTTTTTTTCAAGATAGGGTTTCCCTGTGTAGCCTTGGCTGTCCTGAAAAGCACCTGGCTGCAAGCCTTAAGTCTTATTCCACAGTAGATCACAGGGACCACATGAGTAAGGAATGTCCCTATCAGGGAGAGGCATGTGCTGTAGAAACTACTGAATTATCTGAGGAGCGAAAGACTTTTCTAGGTGGCTACTGCTGGCTGATGCTTTCCAAGAGCACTGGGTCCCTCACATAGTACGATGGTGGGTCCTTCCTTGTGAGCTGGTGAACAAGAGAAAGCACAGGAGCTTTTAGATTAGTATATTTCCTTTGTTTTTATTTCTTTTTAAAAATCCTTCATCTGGGAGTTGAGAGAGAAAGGTAATTTGATGAAAATACACTGTATGCATGCCTGTAATCCCAGCACTCTGGGAGACAGAGGCAGGTGGATCTCTGTGAGGCCAGCCTGGTCTACAAGCAACAACCAAGGCTACACAGAGAAACCTTGTTTCAACAAACAAACAAACAAACAAACAAACAAACAAACAAACAAACAAACAAGATATGGTGGCTCATGCCTTTAATCCCAGGCAGAGGCAGGCAGATTTCTGAATTCAAGGGCAGCCTGGTCTACAGAGCAAGTTCTAGAATTGTGAGGGCCACACAGAGAAACCCTGTCTCTAACAAAAAAAATTCTCATCTGACACTCATACTTGACTAGCTTAAAACAAAACAAAACAAAACAAAACAAAACAAAACAAAACAAAACAAAACAAAAACCTGGGATGACGAGAGATACCCAATGGGAAAGGTGCTTGCTGCTCAGACTGATGACCCAAGTTTGATCCTTGGCCCCTGTACATGTACTATGGCATGTGCAAATGTGTGTGCATGTGTGTGCCATGGGATACACAAACCATGTATGAATGTGGTTAAGATCTCTCATCCCGGGCTGGTGAGGTGGCACAGCAGTTGAGAGTGCATGCAAGTTTTCTAGAGGACTCACGCTCAGTTTCCAGTGGCTCACAACTGCCTCAGAGACTGAACACCCCCTTCTGACTTCTGTGGAATCTTCACCCACGTGTCACTTACTTAAAGACACACACATAGGTAAAAGCCAACAAAAAACCCTGTTCATCTTTTTCTTTTTAATTTAGTGAGCTGTTTCATGATCTTCCCAAGATATTCTAGTATCTCAAATGGCACAGATTTTTTTTTTTTTTCCTTCAGGATAAAGAGAATTAGCCTGTGAGGCACAGTAAAAATCAAGGTTCTTAGGTTCTTAAAATGAGCATCTTTCTTGTGATTCCTGTCATCACCCCATTGCTTGTAAACACTCCCTTCTTGCACCTCCATCAATGCCATCTGAGATTCCCTGGGGTTTCCCAGAGGTGGCCTCCCAATGCAGCCGCTCAGGGATGAGCAGGGAGGGGCCTGGCTCTCCCAGCAGCTGCAGGTCTTAGGATAAAGTAGAGCTATTCCTGCACACAACGATGTTACAAAGATCACTAGATGGCTAAAAGGGCTATCAATCTTAGCAAAATGCCATTTGAAGCTATATCTACCTCACTCGGTTCTCACGCTGGTCAATCTTGCTTTGTGGTTGTCAAGTAAACTCAGAGAAGGTTGAGTGATTTGCCCGGGATCCCTAGAAGGAGTGGTGCCAGGACCTAAATACTGACCCCTTCAATCCCCAGGCTTTTGCTAGCCTGCAGAATTTGCCTCCTAATGCATAGTCTCTCTCTCTAGCTCTCAGCCTGCCTATTGCCATGCTCCCCACCATGATGGTCATAGACTCACCCTCTGACAACCTCCGTTAAATGCTTCCTTCTATAAGTTGCCTTGGTCATGGTGCTTTGTCACAGCAGCAGAGATGTAACTAGGACACTGTGTGTCCCTGAACCTCCATTATACAGACAGAAGTACACTGTTGACCACAGAGCAGCTGGCCTTACCCCCAGGCCACACAGACATGGAGACAGACCTAGGATCAGAATGTGAGGCTTTCCGGGTCACACAGGGAACACTGACATACTGGACAGGCTGGAGAACAGCGGCATAGGAAACTACAAACATGGTCCTCTTGATTCAGGAGGTGGTGTGCTGAATTGGGCTTTACAAGTATGAGGGTGAAGACTAAGCAAAGATACCCTCCTATTCTGAGCAAAGCAGCAAATGGAAGCCAGTTGGCTGAGGGACCCAGATGAGGAGCTTGAGTCTGTCATTCAAACAGAGCCTGAGAGTCCTGAAACCTGCAGGCCTGACCTTTCCTCCTCCGCTCTGCTCATACACCCCGCTGTCAGGCCTCTGACAAGTACAAATAGCAGCTGGGAACAAAACAAATCAAAAACATTGAGTAAATGTTTGTTAACTCTGAATTACATAGGATTCCTTAGAGTTGGGGGCGGGGTGCAGAGTTTGAGGCCAGCCTGGTCTACAGAGTGAGTTCCAGGACAGCCAGGGCTACACAGAGAAACCCTGTCTCAAAAACAAACAAACAAACAAACAAACAAACCAAAATCTTAAAAAAAAAAAAAAAAGTAAAAACAACCAGGTATGGGAGCACATACGTAGGTGGGAGGATCTCCGTGAGTTCAAGGCCAGCCAGGGCCATACAGACCTGAGTTTGGCCCTTGGTGGAAGGAGAGAACTGAATCTCACAAAGTGTACTCTGACCTCCACATGGTCCCCCAAATACATGAATGTGGTTTAACAATTAAAAATAAAGACAAACCAATCACAAAATGGGCAGGGATGAGAAGAGATACTTCTCAATGGCTAGTAAGCACGCAACAGGGTACCCATTTTATTAGTCACTGGCGATGCAGGGCCAGCACTTCATACCTAACAGACAGCAGATACAGGTGTTGGACAGGGTGCCAGGCAACTGGAGATCCTCTACAAGGATGTGGGAATGGTCCATGGCAGAGCTGCTGGGAAAATGATTCGCTCATTTCTAAAACTGTTGCCCAGCAACTCCACTCCTATGTACATTCCTAAGAGAAAGTATTAAGAAACAGGCATCCAGTTGTTCATCACGGCACTTTCACAGTAGCCTGTTGCAGAATATTTGATCCCAGTATGAACCCCCAAATTATAAACTGTAAAACCCTGTTTTGTTTGCTGTGGTTGAGCCCTATCACACACCTTTAATCCAAGAGCTTTTTGTACACAAGATTTAATAGTTAACCCTAGGTCAAGAGGCAGAGCAAGAAACCAGCTGACAGGGATTAAAGAGTAGGAGGAACTTTGAGTGGAGGGGTGTTTTAGACTGTGTGGAGAAGTAGAAAAAGCTTTTAGTTTAAGCTCCGACTTTAGCTTAGACTTCAGCAGCTCAGGTCCCTGGCTTTTTTTGGGCTTTGAGCTAACAAGCCTTTGGCCTTGGATTTTTTTGGGCTTTTCTTCCTGGGCGGTCAGTTGAGCTAGTGAGCCTTTGGGTTTTTTCCATCTGGACCTGAGGTGAGAAGGAAGGTCAGCTGGGTGCTTTCTCTGCCTCTCTGAGCTAGCAGGTTTCACCCCAGCATCTGGCTCCCCAGTCTTTATTGGTAAAATAGAAAGGTTAATATTCTTATTTTTGTTTATAACAACAACAGCCCAAAGCAAAACATCCCCAAAGACCATCACTGATGAGAATAGAGAATAAACCAAATGAGGCAGAGCAATATAGTGGATACTACTTAGCCATAAAAGAAGGAAGTACCAAACCACACCACATGTGTGAACTGTAGAGACATGTTAAGTGGATCAAGCAGACACAAAGAACCACAAAGGAAATGATTTCATTTACAGGAAGTATCCAGAAGACAGGAATACATGGAGAAAATGAGTAGAGCAGATGAGGGACTTCCAAGGGCTAGGGAAAAGGAGGAGCAGGTAGTTTCCTTTTGTGTGAAATGAAAAAGACTCAGAATTGGATAGGGGAAAAAAAATGAGTTCAGGAAGCTGTACCTGGCCCGAGGGCTTCCAATTTCTTTCTTTGTTGTTCCCTGTGGAAAACCATTGGCTGTAACATCCAAAGGCTGCTCAGGAACAGCACTCCAGCTGATAGCTATGAAGAGAACAATTCTGGAGTTAAAACATTTTCTACCAAGCTGGGTGTGATGGCGCATGTCTGTAATCCCAGTTTAAACTCAGTTCGAGGCCAGCCTGGTCTACAAAGTGAGTCCAGGACAGCCAAGGCTACACAGAGAAACCCTGTCTCGGAAAAAACAAAAAACAAACAAGCTTTCTACCCACAAATTAGTGCTGCCCTCAAATTTGCCCAGAGTTTTCTCTGAGCTGTGGACAGTAGTTAATATAGACTCATAACTAAGTATTGATCGAGTGCTCATCCCTAAATGGGACAATCGTATCAGACTCCCAAAGCCCAGGAGGATCACAGAAGAGGTAGAATGAGTGACAAAGCTGGAGGATAGGGAGGAGTGCTGTGAAATGCTCTTTGGACATTTTATGGCTGCTGCACAACTGTAGCTATGGTTACCTGCAAAAGCTCCAGCCAAGATGAGTCATCACTTCAGCAGACAGCACTAACTGTATTCAGTAGGATCCAAAAAAATAAAAAAATAAAAAAGCAAGCAAATCAAAATGGAAAACCAAACCAAACAACAACCAGAGAGAGAAAGAGAGATGGAGGGAGGAAAGGAGGAAGGGAGGGAAGGAGAGAGAGAGAGAGAGAGAGAGAGAGAGAACAAACATAAAAAAAGGGAGGGTGACATGTTGGGAGTGCCTGGGGAGAGTTGGGGTCAAAATAAAAGATAAAAATATTTGATAAAGGGCTGAAGAGATGGCTCAGAGGTTAAGGGCACCAGTTGCTCTTCCAGAGGTCCTGAGTTCAATCCCCAGTTATGACATGGTGGGTCATAACCATCTTTAATGAGATCTGGTGCCCTCTTCTGGCCGGCAGGCAGAACACTGTATACGTAATTTAAAAATATTTGATAAAAATAGAAGATAAAAATTGTCCAATATTTCACAAAAATATTCTCTGACTCGACAGCACCATGAAAGTTGGGTATGGCATCAAAACAAGTTGGGTCTGATCCTTGGTTCCTCAGGGTTCAATGATATCAAATGGTTCATAATTATTATTATAGCTTATAATTCCTTTAAAGATTTATTTTTTATACAGTGACCTGCCTGCATGCCAGAAGAGGGCACCAGATCTCATTATAGATGCTTGTGAGCCACCATGTGGTTGCTGAGAATTGAACTCATGACTTTTGGAAGACCAGACAGTGCTCTTAACTGCTGAGCCATTTATGAATTATATGCTAGATACAGAAATATATATATATATATATATATATATATATATATATATATATATATA